GTATATTTGTAAAGCGCTTAGAGACTTTCGTATTAAAGACCGTCACCACTACTGGGCCAGAAGGGAGCCATCGAGGTCACTGTGACAGGTGGCTATCTCATTAACTCAGCTCTCATTTAACATAAGAAAAAGAGGATCATGGGGGACCAACAGGCACCGATTGGGGAAGTTTTCTATATAGAGGGAGCAAGTAGCTACAAGTATGGCAGTGTGCCTTTAAGCGCTATATAAAGCGGAATATTAGTAGTAGTAGTAGTGGCGCGGCAGGACTTGAACCTCGTATCTTGTGATCTACAGTCGGGTGACTTATCCACTAGACCACAACACCTCTATAGAAGTTCTTGTGGAAGTTCTGGTAAACAAGTCAGTCATGTCAGTGAAGTGGTGTATCTAGGTATTTCGGCACCCGGGGAAAGCACTGAAATTGCGCCTCCCCCCCCCCCCCCCCCCCTCGCCAAATCTTGTTTATCTACATAACTATTCAGTCGAGCGAAGCGACCGCAAAACAAAAACATTTTCACTATATTAAATACCTCGTCATCAAAATAGACACTGCCTGATTATGAAGACTATCAGGCATCTCGTTCCCAAGAATAATCATATTTTTCCGATGTTGCGAGAAAACGGAGCGAGCGAGCACAAATGGACACTTTAGTATCGTTGAAATGTTATTTCATCACCAAAATAAACAGCTAAGATGCAAGCAAGAGTTTATTCTGGCAACTTGTTGCTGAATATTAGGCAGTGGAGTTGCTAATTTTGGATATCAGCGGATTTCTATTATCTTCTCGCTCAATAATAGTGGAAGAAGTAAACAAGGTAACAGAAATTTAAGATTTCTTTCAAATGCTCCCACAAATGTCTTTTTTACACTGCAGAATATATTGAGGCCCAAGGAGCGTACCGACGAGAATTAAACATTTTCTTACCCTGTAAAAATGCTGTTCATGAAGCTATAATATTTATTTGGACGCAAAGTTACGAGATCCATCTGAAGCAATACGCTTGAAGGAGCAAAACGACCGATCTTCAGAAAATGTAAAACCCTGAAAATCTTAAACGTAATGGGGGTGCATACTACTTAAGGTCATGAATCTCCATCTCTCTTTTGAATTTGTTTGCGCGCCCTCTCTTGCTCTTGCAAATGTTCAGACAATCTACTCACTGACGGGGCTGACAGCTGTCAAACAACAAAACCTGGAAACAATTTTAAGTAATAGATTTTATGACATATGCTCCAGTGCCCATTGCTCCGCCTTAAATTTAAACTTTACGCTAACCCTAGCCTAAAATTGAACCTAAACCCAATCGCAACACAAACCATAATGCCTATTACTACGAGGAATCATTCTGCTAGCATTATTACATTGATGCATACGCCAGCGATTCAGAGAGCAACGTTTGTACTGCCGATTTTTCATCAGTCATTATTTTGTATTAATAAATGGCGCTTTAAAAGCTGCATCATTCGCTGATGCATGCCTATGTCAGCAAATAATGCCACGACGTGGATCCTACAAGGTATTTACAAGAAAAATAAGTCCAATGACAAGACGTCGTGTGCAAAAAAGAAGCATGTTCCATCAATTTAGTTGACGAATTAAAACCATAGGAAATGTCGCCGGAGCATTTGTCAGATCACCGAATACAAGTTGTACGCAGAAGCGGCAACCGTTTACAACTTGCGATTAAGAGCTTGCTTTTGTCTCCCTGATGACTAACACACGTATCACAGGTTGCTGGCTCTATTCCAATGACTAACTACACCGATGGGGTCGCACTTGTTCACATTCTTTTATTAATAGAAAGGAGGGAAACCCAACTAAAGAATAGAACTCTCATCCAATTAAGACACAACTTCACACAAGGGAACTTACTATTTAAATAGTCATTGATTACTATTTTCTCTTGTCATTGAACTTATTTTTCTCGTGAAGTCCTTGTAGGATCTATTTCATCAACGACTATCAAATTAAATTTTGACATTTGTTTTCTTTTATAAGCAACACTATTGAAAACAGTTACTAAGTATATTAAATAACCTTATCGTTAGTTCAACGGTTTGCTCCGTCATATATTAATTTGTTAGTGTAATTATTTCGATTCTCTTTACTGAACGAATCTTCAAGCTCAAAGTTGTCGAAAACAAAACGATGACCAGTGATTGTAGCAGATGGTTACTATGCTGATATGTTAAAGCCCCACTGTCCTACTTGTAGCTTCTTGCTCCCTCTATATAGAAGACTTCCCCAATCGGTGCCTGTTGGTCCCCCATGATCCTCTATTTCTTATGTTATTTGAGAGCTGAGTTGATGAGATAGCCACCTGTCAGTGACCTCGCTGTGCGGTCTAATCCCTCCTAACCACACTAGTGTTGATAAGCTTTAAGGTTTATTTGTAAACTCTAAGGTCTATACCTTATTATTATAATATCTGACGTATGCATGGAGGTATCGATCTTAATAAAAAAATTAAAAAAACGGAATAGAAAATACAGATATCCGTCGTAAGTATAAAAATAATATAAGCCGATATAAGGTATCCTAGCGAAGACTTATATTATTGAAATATTATCTGACAGTATGCAACAAAGCAACATTTCGAAACTAGATCAATTTTATATGAACTAAATCCAAAAAGCAAATCATAAAGCAGATATGCCTTTTGGCATGGCTGGCCTGACTGGAAAGCGTGCATTGTGAATCCTCTATTTTCACGCTTTCCGCTTTTGGACTAAAACCACAATTACAGACATCAATGACAGGCAACTGTTTTCATTGTGCCGTGAAATAGTTTTCAGCATTTGTACGTTTTCATTAACATAGTTTTAAGCGGATACGCTTTATCGTATTGACTTAGAAGATCATCTCTCCTGTAATGATATTTTCGTTTGAAACACTCACCGTAAATAATGTTTGTGACTTAAAGGTACTGTGTCCCTTTTTGCAGCCAACCTCAAATTATGTAGAACTTTGCAAGAATTATGAATATATGTCCTATCTGTGAAATTTAAACGTTAGCAGTGTCCTAATATCTAAATTATGCAAGGAAACCCGTTTACTTGCTAGATTTCACTGTCAGACACTATTGAGTGACTTACTGACTTTTTCTTCTTTGGTAATAACATACATAAAATGAGCTGTAAAGGGTACATTAGCATTTGTCTACATCAATAACCCACTTCTTGTGATGGCCAAAATTAAACTGATTGAATCTTTGCGCAGCATAAAACGTATGACCATTCGGTACAATGGTCTGAAAATCAAGACTATTACTTATTGGCTCTATAGCTCCTAAGTCGATTTGACAACTAATAGTCGTTATTTTCCCACTTAAAGACATTTTCAAGCCCCACTTTTTTAAGGGAAGTTCTAAATTAGTATCATCTTTCAAATGCCGTTGGAATTTAACCTTTTCATTTTTTTTTGGCCTGCAAATGGGACATAGTACCATAATATCTTGTCATGTGTCAATTCTTGCACTCGTTACTTGTTCTTTCATCATTTGCCGTTGGCTCTATAATCACCAAAATTGATAAATCACAAATCACTTCTGTAATGCACTAATAATTCATGTGTAATTTATTAATTGATTATTTTGCAATTCATGAACTATTTTAAGATTAAACAGAACCATCACTAAAAGGATAACAATAAATTTGTAATTTATTCTGACTACTGGTATCTTTAACATAGCCTTGAATAAAAGTAAAAGAGAAACCCAGAACCTGAAAATTAAACAATTTTGGTGTTAATCTGGATTTCTGCTCTCCAGATTGAAATAATTTGTTGTTGGTAGCAGATAATTTGATATTGATGTTCCCAATGCTGGCCAACTTCCATCTTTCGGCCCTCCCCCTAAATAATGTCCGAGTTTGTTTGAAATATGGCCATGCTTTGAAATCATATAAACTGGTCAATTATAGACAGACCATGAAATTTGAGAAATTCCGTTTAATAACTCACTTTGTATCATATGGAAGAGATATGGGTTCGCCAAAAACGGAAATGAGTCACTACTTGTTTGATTTGTTATGGGAGTTATCGATCAGGATTTAGTACTTGGAATACCTGGGAAAATAAGAGGAAAAGGATTCTGGTAAATATGATAACATTCTTCTTCCCATTACTCTAAAACAGGAAATTCTTGTGTCATTCGTGATTCAGAGAGCTTTTGTGAAACCCACTCCCACGCTTAAAAGATTAGTTTTATTCTGATAATCTAACCGACTGTACGGGAATTCAATGGAACTCATATAACATCCTACAAACTAGAAAAGATTGATCTGCAAGATGAAATGAGTTTCCCAAGAAGACATTTCTTAACAGGTTTAGTTAACTGGTACATAATAAGTAGATTACTTACACCGTCAAAATCTGTTACTAATAAACCCGTATGAGCAAGCGAGTGAGAAAGGAAGATAGTCAATTTGAAAGGGATTTTGAGAAGACGAACCTATTTAGAGCGCTAAATGTTAACCTATCTCGTTTCTACGGTACTAGTCCAGTTATTTACTACAATGGTCTGTTATCATGGTTATACATATTCCATATGATCACAGGTAGACGGTGGTGATGACAAAGTACTATTTTAACAGTTGCAAAGGGTGGTACATGTATACATAATTACATCCCCTTTTGCATCCCTAGATTAAACACAAGCTCGTAACAACGTAAACATGGGATGAGATACCCTCACGATTTTTCATCAGAAGTAGAACCATTCAATAAAATATTTCCATTGGACATTGATTATTGTCAAAATCGAATAAAATGGAGTATGTATAGATGAATATTTTTATTTTTCTACTCCATGTGACCTTTTATCTAGAGGTACAAAATATCTATACCAGGCCCCGTCTTATAAAGAGTTGCAACTTGAAATAAATAGCTATTCCTATCTATTAACTAAGTACACAGTTGCGATTAATGTTCAGTTGCGATTGATTTGAATCAATTGCATTTCTTTATGATACGGGGCCCAGAGCGTGCTTTACTTACCCTTCTTGGTTGTGCTAGCCTCGATGATGGTCTTGATCTCCTTGCTTCTAGAGCTTGTCTCAGATCCTCTCTTTCCATTTCCCTCTCGTCCAGCCTTGCTTCATCCTCTAACCTCAGTACTAAATCCTCCAGGTTGGTTCCTTCACCATCAGACGGAACCTCCCTGGTCGTCGTCGCCTCATCGTCGGCCTCGTCGACGCTGCTAAAATTCCAGAAGAGCAGAAAATCATCATCCAAAAAGTTAAGCGAATACGAAGGGTCATACGCTTCTGGCGCTGATGACGTCGTCGTTATCGACGTGAATTCTTCGTTGTTTTGAGCTTGTTGGTGACTCCGAGTCCTAAGAATAACGGCGTCGGGATCGACCTCGGCGATGGGGTCCCGCAACGTCCTCTGCGGGACACCGTCGACCACCGCGACGAAAAAATATAGCAAAAAGTAAGCAGAAACAGACCCGAAATGTCGAAGCGTATTCGTCCTGCACACTGAAGGCATATTCACAAAAATATATGTGTTTTGAATCAAACAAAGACGATGTATGATGCGAGTTGCGTTATTCCTGAAATGACCTGCGGTGATCTTGACAAGTAAATATATACAGGTTGTGAAAGAAGACGGGCAAACTTAGTGGTGTTGGTTGCGATGATAGTAATCCAGGCAAGGTTGGGGTAGAAAATAATAAATAACCAGGAATGATAGGTGATAATGAGGTGCAAACGAGCGCGGTGTAGCCGCCAGCCAGTATCAATCAGTCCGCTGGGATGATAATTGTGCGCGAGGAGAGTGGGAGGAGGTGGGGTGTGCATCCATATTGGCCCTGTATGCGTGTTGAGTGTGTGCGTGGCGGCTACTCGAGTGAATCAACGACTTATGTATATGACCTGCAACAATATAGCGACTAAGTTTCACAGAGAGGTGTGGACTCGTCGATTTCAGTTTGTAGGGGTGTGTCATGTCGTTCTTTTGTTGTGCTCTGGCTTGTATATAATGTTTCAAGATGCGTATGTTTCAAGGTGGACCTAAATGGTTTTGTCATGATTTGTTATTTGATGCGACATTTATATCAAATGATTCCATATATTCTTACCAATAAGCTGGAAAGAAAATATTTTCACTTTACAAGTTTGATTGAATTTAGAACCTTTTCACCACTCCAAGAATATCAAGCTCTTCCGTCATTTCTGATTCTCTAAAGAATAGACCTATATTTTCTAATGGCAAGTCAGGGTGAGTTCGAGGAATAGCGAGATAGATGCGTAGAGAAATACTGCAGTTCTTGGCAGGAGAAATATTTGAAGAATTAAACTTTACTAAAGGGGTTAAAGGTACTATGTCCCATTTGCAGGCCCAAAAAATGAAGAGGTTAAATTCCATCGGCATTTGAAAGAAAATGCTAATTTAGAACTTCCCTAAAAAAGGGGATTTGAAAATGTCTTTAAGTGGGAAAATAACGACTATTAGTTGTCGAATCGACTTAAAGGTAAAGACCAGTTTTGGAAACGCCCCCCTCTCAAAAAATTTAACGGAAGCTCTTATTACCAATCTTGTGAAAGAATATGTTTTGACTAATACGTGATCATACAAATTTTGCCGAGAAACCGCCTCCTAATTGATATATTTGGTAAATTATTATATCTATGTGGACTTGATAGACATAACGCACGTGTCGCGCATGTGTGCGTAGTCCCATAAACATCTTTATGTGTACAGTGCTTGTAACTTTACCAAGACTGGGCCAAATTTCTTATCATTTTAATGATTCAAGAACCTTGCAGTACACACCAATACGTATATGCTAGATGATCAACCTTTTCTGATCGATTCCACAGCGTTTCTTTCATAATGCAATCGCATTCTTTAGGAGCTACACACACAAATGTATATTGTTGTTGTTGTTTTAGTATTTAGGGCGTGTGTCATTCAATTATGAATATTAACGCCGAATTCATTTTTTTTGATAATTTTAAATGGGAGCAGAAAAAAGGAGGGGAAAAAAAATCGACGCTGTTCAATTTTTCGCAATTTGCGGAGATTCCAGACAGGTAAGTAATAGTCTGATTTTCAGACCATTGTACCGAATGGTCATACGTTTTATGCTGCGAAAAGATTCAATCAGTTTAATTTTGGCCATTACGAGAAGTGGGTTATTGATGTAGACAAATGCTCAGATACCCTTTACAGCTCATTTTATGTATGTTATTACCAAAGAAGAAAAAAAAGTCAGTCAGTCACTCAATAGTGTCTGACAGTGAAGTCTAGCAAGTAAACGGGTTTCCTTGCATAATTTTAATATTAGGACACTGCTAACGTTTAAATTTCACATACATGACATATTCATATTTTCTGCAAAGTTCTACAGAATTTGATGTTGGCTGCAAAAGGGACATAATATCTTTGGTAGATAAAATGAATGAATGAAAGAAAGAATTAAACTTTTGAAATCTGAATAGATAAGCCACCGTGAGACTGAAAATTAGACTACGGACATAAATTTTAAAAAACTTTTAATTGATATCTGGCCGCCCAAGGGTTGCAATTAGACTGAGATTGCGATCAATAATTTGAGACTATTCATAGAGCTGATGTAATAATGATTAATCGGACACGCAGGCTTGCTCGCTAATTGGCAACGCTTTGCCGAGGTTCCATTAACACTACAAATCGATGTACTTCACTTCATTACGAACTGATTTGATGTCAGTACCCAATTCTTCGAGGAACATGTGATAAAAAGGACGATGAACGATGACTCGTAAGCGATATTTTAAAAGAATGAACAAAATTACTAGTTATCTTTATATGGTAAGGGGCATAATTCGTAATTGAGTTGGGCCAATTTGCGTCAAAATTGTAAGGCATATTATTGAGACAGAGGCAGATATTGACGATTGCTCTCAGTAGAAAAGATGGGGCCTGGATTCGGGCTTATGTCTCCGCATCGTAGGAGCTCAAGCTGAAAAGTCGAATTACTGTTACTGTAGTACAAAATACGTGTAGACAAATATTTGTAATGAACAAGTTTAGGGGTTAAAACCCTGCTGGCTTTATAAGAGTGCAGAGAAAATACAGGTAGGTAGCCTTCATTCATATATATATGCATAACAAACACGCCAGAAAAATGCTCACCACTGGCTGTATAGAACACATTGAAACTGGTCCTTTTATCCTGCATCAGTCAATTGTAAAGTCCATTGTGTACATGGCTGAGTGAATATGCTGAATGGTGCTATGCTGGGCAAGCCCATGTACTCAGGGCATAAAGATGGCTGCACGCTATGATCCAGTGTAGAGTCTAAAAAAAATATCTGCTTTCTTCAACAAGTGAGTATCATAAGAATCCACAGAAAATGTCTAGATAGTGCTATATCCAATAGTGATCAAACTGCCTCTCTCAGTCCAAGAGAAGGCAATATACTTCGTGCAATATCAACAGAAACATTGGGAGCACAGTCAGCTGCCTGCCAGGCGCTTGAAGTCCGAAGAACTTAAGTCAAAATAGGCCTGAAGAGGGGATATACGTGAATGCTAGAGAGGGGGATAAAGAGAGAGAGAGAGAGAGAGAGAGAGAGCAAGAGAGAGAGATTAATGGAGCATCATTCTGAGCATAATCCTTGGAAAGAGTGCACGATAAAAGTGATCTGGTTATCAGTTCTAGGAATCCGAAGCGAGAATATGACATTAATTTCATTAATTTATTTGAGGAAGACAGGTGGTCAATTATTGGGACTTCATATCCATGGTATTTTGCTGTCACTAGCAACCAACGAAACGGATGACCGCCGATGTTCTTTTGAATTCCGGTAAAGAGGAAATACACCAGGCTGAGAAATTATAGCCCATGTTTGCATAACAAATATACTGTAGGGGAGAGAAAGAATTCCGAAATTACAAAGACTGGAGGAAGGAGGCCCGTAAAAGAGAGATAAAGAGAGGAGAGAGAGAGAGAGAGAGAGAGAAGACAAGAATAAAGAGATAGGAAGAGAAAATGAGAAATATGGAGAAGGGGAAGAGAAAGATTTGAAAAGTGTGTGAATAGAAAGGTTGTGGAGGGGAAATAAGAAATAGACCGATGACGGACGAGGAAATCAATACATAGAAAAAGCTTATTTACAAGTTATCCGTAAACAAATGTGCTAGACACGAAATTCCTTACAATAAATTTATTTATAGCATGATATGTTTGATATCCGTATAGTCTTGACAAATGAAAAAAAAAATAATACAAATAAATACTATTACTATAGACAGTTGAATGAATAAAGAAAAAAAGAATAAAAAACTAACTAAATAAGTCAATATATCAATGAATAAATGCCATAACAATGATTGTTAAAGTAGATATTCATTGATTTTAAATCTAGCTTTATTTTCATTATTGCAAAGTTGAAACTTTGATTCGACAAGGTTATCAAAATTCAATGCTAAGAAACATTCGAAGTAATGATTATTATAAATTACAAAACGCTTAAATACAGCCCCGGCATAGCACCTGAATAGCTCTCCGAACGCTGCTGAGATATGTGAGATCACAGCAGGGACATGATTTGCACAAGCAGACGATGTACCATGACATCTCACACATTTTCAGTGCCTGTATTTTCATCTTCTCTTGAGTTCTTTCTCTTACTTCACTACCGCCAGGCTAAATGTATAATCTATTGCCTCACTCTAAACCCCGCGCATGGTTTTATTTTGATGACAAATGCAGCGATACAAAAATAAAGACGCCATTGTATATTCAGCTGCAGACACCGCGGTATGTTCGGCGTTTTAAGAGGGAACAAATGCCGTCCTTAATATCAATCCGGGGGTTTTTCAATTTGAAAGGCTGGTTTCTTTGATTGTTAATTAACCCCTATCCTGTGTATTTACAAGCAAAAGATTTTAGTTATCAGGATCGGGTCATGTCCCCTTTTGATCGGTTTGACGTGCCAGTACATTTATATACACTAAACTCATTATAATTTGACAAATAATAGCTTTGCAATTATGTCCATTCTTTATGGGATGTCGTCTGCTTTGGCAGTATTGGTCCCTGTTGTGACGTCATTAAAACATCGTTATTTTTCTGGCGAATCTCTCGTATATCCCAGCTGCTATGGAGGTGGTTGTATTTTTATTTTTATAAATCACCCGATATGTAGCTGACCTCAAACTTGTACGATGGCCATCTGTTAGAGGGCAAAAGCTAATGAGTGGCATTGATAATGGCGCCAAAGTCCGTCTTGAGACAAAATGATGGCCGAAATTAATCTTAGGAATCATGCAATCTAAATATTCATTATGCCTCTGGGGCTAACCTTGAAATATGCGTTACCACAGACAGATATTTAATCCCGATATAACAAAAATTGGCTCATGCATTTAGGACATCAACAGATCCAGTGATGTCAGAACAGTGTGAACGCTCGTACATTTGGTAATATTTTATAGTACCACAACGATAGTTAAAAATTATTGAGCCTGGAAAACATACGGTTTCTTCAAAGAAATTAATTGCTGGTCTCATATTATTTGTGGGCAGAAGCGTCATGATACAGCCAATCAATCAAAGTGGAAAACAAAAATTGCTAAGATGGAGTACTACAAATGTTACTCAATGCACATACGGAAAATAGCCAATCAGTGAGAAAGTCAGGTTTATTTTTTAACGACTCTACAATCAGTATATGGGAGTTTTCGCAAACTCGCCGACAGAGAATCTGCGGTTCGTGTGCAAAATCGAGAAGCTACTATAGTAACAGCAGGGTGACCGCTGAGGTACTAGGGCGCTTTAGTAGGGACTTTTAGATTCGCACGAAGACAATAGGTCTATGCTACGATCGACGTCCTTTTAAAGCACTGCCGTGAATGGAAGTACCACGTATCAGTCCACGCAAATCTAA